GCATGAATCTCTTACTTAAAACCCTCACCAATGAAAAAAAGTCCGAACCCAAAGTATGATATTCGAGAATCTTCATGAGTAGTGCTTGTGAGCCTTCTTCTTAGCCTCACTTCTTATCAGTGCCCACTTCAAACTTTATGTCCTAATAAGGAATGACTATGGGACTAACAACTAAACTGATCTGAATTCCCCAAACATACCACGCAGTTGTGCAATGCCTGGAATGACCCCCACCCAACATCTTCATCAACCAGGCAAACCTATTTATCCTTTAAAAGCCACAAACATTTCATCCTCTAGGAAGGTTCCCAAACCCAAACACCTCCCCAATACCCATCCCTGCAAGCACCTTACACATAAACACATACACACTCCTTTATTAACTCTTCTATGTCTTTCCTCCTAGAAGTTTCTCAGTCCCTTGAGGGCAGAGCCTTAGATTATTCATCTCTACACCCTTTGTGTCCACCCTAGCACCATGTGCCTACCTTAGAGTAGGCAGTAGGTATTCAACAATATTTATTAAAGTGAGTTTAAACACACTTTAGGTAATATGTGGAATCCTAAGCAAGACTGGAATTTTAAAAATTCAGGTTTTAATTATGCTCATTTCAACCATAAAAAAAAAACAAACCCAAACACTCAAGTTACCTTAACAAGAGGGTTGGGAGTTGTATTAGAAAGCTATTATGGACCTCCAGGAAGAATTTTTTCTGCAGAAAACTGCTTCCTTCTCCTCTGCTTTCTCAGACCTGACGTTTGCACAGGGTTGGTCATGGCCTCACTAGCCTCTCCCTTAACTCTTCAGCTCCAGTCTTCACTGCTAACAAGCAATTTATCTCTATATTATCTGATTCAAATTTCTGAGTGAGCTGTTTTGGTTTTTGGCACCAGGCCACCAAGTCCCTTCTCTTTCTCTGATAAAGCTATGATCAGTTGTCCTGTGGTTAGGTACCCTGCCAGAAGCTCCAGGACCAATAATTAACATTCTCTCAACTCCCAACTCAATATACTATTTGTATTTCCTTAGAACATTATAGAGATATGCTTTATACTACTGAAATTATTTTGCAATACTTTTAAAAACAAGTCTTGCCAAGACTTGTTCACAGAAAAATCCTGCATACTGCTTCACTGAACCAGCTATACAATCCAAATATACAAGGAGTTAATCTCCTCCTATTTGTAGATGTGCACAGAAAGAATCCTCTAGATTGTTATAACCGTTCAATGGCAGTGGTATAAAAAGCATTTTTACAAACTTTTTGCAAAATTTCCCATACATTTATAACGTAAAATGAAATAAGTAGTCCAGACATTTCCTTGTTAAACTCTATCCCATAATACCAAGTAACTTCAATATAAGGAAAAGTACATACAATAGCAATTTATCCCTAACCAACAAAACCTGTTTCTCTTCCTCCTAACACTACTAGGTAATGATTGAAGAAGGAAGGCCACTCACTGACAAGCTCCCATGTCAAGGAAAGAAGGGTGTATAGGCCGTGACACAGTCAGATTCTTTTTTTTTTTTTTTAAGATTATTTATTTATTTTAGAGAGAAAGCTCAAGTGCGTGCTGGGGGTAGGGGCAGAGGGACAGGAAAAGAAAATATCAAGCAGACTCCCCACTGAGCATGGAGCCCCACGCTGGGCTCGATCTCACCACCCCAAGATCATGACCTGAGACAAAATCAAGAGTCCGACAACTAACCAACTGGCACCCCAATACAGTCAGATTCTCAATGTTATTAATCTCCTGCTTAAAAACTAGAAAAAAAATCTAATTAAATCTCTGTTATATCTAGAGGGACATCACATTTGCACTAAGAACAAATTTAACTGAATGAGAGAACACTATACACATCTTTGAAAGAAGGCAATTTATTCACTAAAAAATTCTGGCTATGGGCGCCTGGGTGGCTCAGTTGGTTAAGCGTCTGCCCTTGACTCAGGTCATGATCCCAGAGTCCTGGGATCGAGTCCCACATCGGGCTCTCTGCTCATCAGGGAGTCGGCTTCTCCCTCTCACTCTCCCATTCTCTCAAACAAATAAATAAATCTTAAAAAAAAAAAATTCTGGCTATTCCAAGATTCAATGTTCACTGGAAAGAAATACTGTTAGAAGGGGATAAGGAGAAAACTTTCTGATAATGACCTTTCATAAGATCTGAAAGAAAAGAAACCTTTTTCAAATGCACGTTGTCCTTACATTTCTTGATATAAAGGAAGGATTTTCTATTTTAAAATCAGGTAGGTGTTCTAGTTAGCCAGGCTGTTTATTAGCTATCCTCACTGGTGACTCATTTTAGTTTCATCTGTAGTAATGAGCAGCTAACTACATAATATCAAAACCAACAGGTTAGACTATTGTTAATAAACATATAATCTTAACAGATCTAATTTCAGGGGACAGAAATTGGTACAATTTAGAGAGTGCTGATGTTGTCTTTAAATGAGGCTTGAAATAAAGGCACTGTTAGAAAGCTTTCAATGAATAAAAAGCAATAAAGGGCAAGGGCTTGATTGTTTCATTCTTTAGCAAAAATTCACTGATTTTAAAAAGCAAAATGTTAACTTGAATGTCTTGGAGAAATTTTAGTCAGGCACTAAAAGGGTTATATGTCCTTTTTTATTCTCTTTTATAAAAATAATTGTAGCAATAAGCCAAGACAATATGACACCTACATTATTAATATATATCAGACTGATTTCTTTCCAAAGGAGAAGTTTATAATAATTTTAATTTACTAACTAGGCCTATTTACATTTATCAAACCAGCAAAAATGGGGGAGGGAACTAAATTTCTTCCCCTTCATAGTTAAAATCATTGGAAATTATCTAAATTTAATAAGACAAGAATTTACATTGTTTAAAGTCATAAATGTAAACCAGAGAACTGAAAATAATAGTTTAACTATCAAAAATTGAGATACACCAACCAGGAGAAAAGCAAGCAAAAGGTAGTATTCACCCAATTTCTCATCTTTGAGAGGATGGGATTAATAGGTACTATCTAAAGCTGAATCATGAAACAGAAGTATAACTTTTAAATAAAGCCAACCTCCAGAAGACCAGAAATAAACTGTCAACAGGATACCTCTGGAAGTTGGGACGATGGGATGGAAGACACTTATTTTATACCTCTGTACAATTTGCACATTCCTACCATGTGAGTATATTCATTTAATCCAGTTTTTTTAAATTGTCAATAATGAGACACCTCAAAAAAAAAAAAGAAACACCCACTATATATTTCATTCTCTGAGCCTTATAACTCATGGACTGTCAACTTTATAAAATGGAAAGTGAGGGGCTCCTGGGTAGCTCAGTCGGTTAAGTGTCTGCCTTGGGCTCAGGTCATGGTCCCAGGGTCCTGGGATTGAGCCCCAAGTCCACTCCCAGCTCAGTGCGGAGCTGCTTCTCCCTCTCCCTCTGCTGTTCCTTGTGCTCCCTCACTCTCTGTCAAATAAATAAAATCTTATTTAAAAAAAAAAAAGCCTGTATGACCAATGAATATTCTTTAAAAAAAAAAAAAGGGAAAGTGAAATATCTCATCTATCAAATTAAAGGTAAGGTAAAGGAAGCAAAGCTTCTCTTTCCCCCACAGTCCAAAGTTCATAGCTGACCATATTCAAGTCAAAACAGTTCTTGTGACCACTACAAACTTTTAAAAAACACACACACTTCTTGGTATTGTTTTAAAAAGAAGACCTCCTTGATCGATTTAAGCAAAAACACTGACACTGTCCAAAATAATTCTTATAAACTACTGCTGAACACAGTCAAGCTAATAAACAAGAGGTCAGAGGCTACATGGCAGCAAGCGAACTAGTAAGTCGTTACATAAATCGATAACACATTTAGGCCTTCTATGTCCCTTGAAATCAAAACAAGAGAGGCGTTTTGAAAGTTTGCTATCTTCACTGATCCCCTCAGGAATGTAAAAGTATGCATTGCAGTTTCAACCTCCTAGTGCTTGAGTTTTTTTTAAGCAATTTACTTCTGCTTGGACAAATAGTAAGACAGGCCAAAGCCATTGGGTTTTCAGTTAACCCTTAGCTTCAAATCTTCATGTTCACACTAACATTTCACCTTTACGAATGCTACTAAATGTAATTATCCCATATTTCAGACCACAACTGAATTCAAGGGAAGGGGAATATTTCAGGTCACTGATTATAGAACATGATCTAATACAACAATATTAGGACTGGATTATTCCTGGTAAGCACAGGAGTTATAACTTGGGTAACAATATGAGTAAAGATCAGATCAGATTTTAAAACTATGCCTCCGTTCGTCCTCTTCTCTTCCTGCAGTGTTTCCCCCTATCAAATGGTCCTTTCACAAATTTTTAATTTACACATATACTACTTAATCTTGGCGAAACATAAGTACCTAATGCACATCCCTAAAAACGGTTCAACTTTACTCTTAAATAATAACTCCTATGTCTAATACACAGGCAGCCTGACCATAGTCCAGATGCACTTTGTGAACTCTTCTAGGCGAGGAAGGTAAACCTGACTTAGAAAACCAGAGGCTTTAGGCCTTCTGGTAATCAAAAGAGCCAGCAAACTAAGGTAGTACTGTCTTTTAAGCCCATGGCAAACTTAGTTCACTGAGGCATCACTCGGAATCAACTCTCAACCCCAAACACACCCAGACTTGATGACGTAAAGCCCTTGTAAATCTCTTAGTCGGCGAGTCTCTCTCGAACCCACCAGGTGGACCTGCTCTATTCCAAGACGCCTCCCTCGGACCCCAGGCTGGACCATCAGCCGCGCGACTCCCGGGCACCCTGCAACACACCTTGGGGTGCCCCAACGTAGCGCCCCATGCTCCTCCCCCGACCACCCCGACCGATCCCAAGTCCCTAGAGGCGCCTGCCCGGAGCAATTCGCCCACCACACCTCCAGCCCCTCACCCTCCCCTCCTCCAGTCCAGGTCGAGCGGGCCTTTCCTCTCCCCTCCCACCCCTTCTCTGAGACACTCACCCGCGGTAGTAGGCTTTCACCCGGACCTGGTGAGAATGGTCCCCGCTGCCGCCGCCTGCGATCGGGTGAGACATGGTACTGCTCTCCCTCTGAGTCGGCATCTCCTTACTCCCCCGCCTCAACGCCGGAGGCCGAGGGTGCGGGGGGGGCGCCGGGCGCCGTGGGGGTCTCGGCTGCCCGAGCCTCTCCCAGAGCCGCGGCTGCCGCTTGCTTACCTGTCCACTCCGCCCGCGGCGCGGACCCACGGGTCGCCTCGCCGGGGCAGCCGGAACCGCACGGCTCCTCCCGCCGCCCGGGCCCAGCACGCCTCCCCGCTTCGGCCCCTCCCACCTCGCTCGCTCCAAAGGCCCACATTCCGGGGGAGGGCGGGCGCCACAGCGATCCACCTCGAGGCGCCGTGCCGCCCGGCCGAACCATTCTTACGGGGGCTAGGAAAAGGGGGAGAGAGGATGGGAGACGCTGGCTCTCGTATCAAGCAGGCCGGGAGGGAGGTTTTCCTGGGAGCTGTGACGAGAGAATGCCAAAGTTCTCCCTAAAAAGCCCCCTTTCTGCAGGGAAAACATTAGGGGACAAAGGCTGCGGCATCTCACCCCGGTTTCCTAACTTGGTCGCGTCCGCGGTCAGCCGCCTAGGGACTGGGATAGATTTGCCCTGCCGGCTTTCTGGGATTTGGAGTCCCGATGGGATTCTGGGACTGGAGGTTCTTTACGTAGGAAACCATCCTCCCCTTCTAGCCGAGCGAGTCTGTCTCCAGCTTGCACGCCGCCGGGAGTGTTCGGCTTGGAAATCCTGAATGTAGCTTGGGCATCTGAGGTCACTGGAAATGACTGGGTTTCGTCACGATCTACAGTTTGTTGCCTGATGAATTCTCCCTTCCAATTGCATAAATCATCTCAATAATAGAGTGCCTTTTTGGGAAACAAGACTGGTTACCGGCTCAGCACAGCTCTTTTATGGAAAGAATTTAATAACATATGTAACAAATGTAATAACGTAATAAAGGAAGAAACTCAACTAGAAGGTATGATGAAAGACCGACATTTCTTTCTTTGCAGCCCCCATACCTAGGCCCTTGTATAGGGCCGTCTCATGGCACAGGTGCACAGTATTTATCCAATCCTTCCATCAGCATTTTTTTTTCTATCACTGCCTTGCCAAAGATTACAGTATAAAGGATCCGACCTTGTAGCCTAGTCTCTGACCTTCCAGTGATCTTGGCTCTGTCACATACTGAAATTACAGGTAGCAGGAATCCAGCTTCTGTATCAGTCCTGGCACCAACGCATGCTAAAAAGGCTGGAATAATCAAGGAAATAACTTCACTATGATAAAATAGGGATGGAGGATTGACTCATCAGTTATGTCTGACGGTCTGACATGATGTCCTTCAACTGCTACAAACTTGGGTTATGAACACTTTTTTAAAAAGATTTGATGTATTTATTTGACAGAGAGAGCAGCACAAGCAGGGGGAGCAGCAGATGGAGAGGGAGAAGCAGGCTCTCGGCTGAGCAGCAGGGAGATCTCGGAGGGGGGGTTAGATCCTAGGTCCCTGGGACCTGAAGGCAGATGCTTAACCAACTGAGCCACCCAGGTGCCCCTGGATTATAAACTTTTTTTAAAAAAAGATTTTATTTATTTGAGAGAGAGAATGAGACAGAGAGAGCATGAGAGGGGGGAGGATCAGAGGGAGAAGCCGACTCCCTGCTGAGCAGGGAGTCCGATGCGGGACTCGATTCCGGGACTCCAGGATCATGACCTGAGCCGAAGGCAGTCGCTTAACCAACTGAGCCACCCAGGCGCCCTCATTTAGCTCTTTGAACATAATTATGATAGCTGTTCTGAAGTCTTTGTCCGCTAAGTCCAACATCTGCATCCTCTCAAGGGCAGTTTCTGTGTGCATGGCCTGTTTGTATTTCTCACTATTTTTTTTGTTGCAAGCTGTACATTTCCACTGTAGCAACTCTGGAGACTGATCCAGACTGGCTCCCAGGTTTGTTGTCACTGTTGTTCGCTTCTTTATTTGTTGAGTGACTTGGCCAGACTAGTTCAGGAAGTTTTTTTCCCCCACAGTGTGCAGGCTCTGATGTCTACCCAGTGCTTTGGCTTGCGCGCTGACACCCTGACTCCTTCTCTCTCCCCTGGGGGATGACAGTGGTTTCAGTCAGGTTCTCTGACTCTTTTCCTTATCTCCCTATCCAGCTTTTGGCTGGTTTGCCTCTATTGATATTACTCCTAGCTGTTGGCCTCCACTAATTGGCAAATGATTGCCCCATGCTTCTCACAACGCCCTGGGCCATAAATGGCTCCACGGTCTGATCCAATGGTCAATTTTTATTTATAATTTTCACCAGTTATGGTTGTTTCACTGGGGAGAATATATGGGGAGATCCTCATGTTTCCATTCCAGAAGTGCTCTGACATTAGTTTTTAAAGTCAATGGGGTGCAATTAAAACAGATGTAAGGCACAAAGAGTTATGCATATAGAATGATCAGGTCACAGAAATTATGTTATTTTCAGTACCCAAAAAAAACCCCTGAAAAGTATTGAGCCATCTCTTTAGTTTAAAGAAAAGAGGATTCTGTAAAAGGGCTTAAAAGGAACCTGGCATCACATTAATCATATCTTTTGGAAAATTCCACTTCCTTTCTATAGATTGAGCTGCTCTAACAAAAATAATCAGAAGAGGTTGACCTTTATATTCATTCTTAATGAGCCTCACCAGTGTGTCTTGTAATCAGGATCAAATATGAAAACTTGTTTGCCATGTTCTTTATGTCATCTAATAAATCCTGCTATGGTATTTCTGATGCCTCTTCCTCAACTGAGAATCAAATGGTACAAAACGTAAAGTCAGTGGTAGACACTGTGACCAAGTCTCCCACAGCCCATTTAATTTCTGTTGGTGCTGATTAATGGTGCTTACTAATACCCTCAGCTTTGGATAAGCCTGCTGCCTTAACCTAGCATTCTTAAGTGGTTACACTGAGCATGGGATAATGTCATTAAAAGGAGAAGAAAAGTGTTTAAATTGCAAGTCCAGATCATTTGCGGGGGGCCGGGGGGGGGGTACTTTCTGACCTGCAGAGATAAACATTGAGCACTGGGCTGAATTAACCTGGCTTTGGCTCACTGCATTAACTTTAATAGGAAAAATTAATTAATGCGCAAATCCACAGGCTTAAGAGATTTAAAGTATTTTGGCTAACATTTTCTTATTTTGTGATCACAAGAATACTTGTCCCAATGTGGAGCAAAAATAACCTATTTGGAAAATGGCGAATGAGATAATAAATAGTAGACATGGGTCCCGTGTGATGGTGTCTTAATAGCACATTTTTGTACTTAACCTTCAAGAGCAGAAGCCATGACCAAAACTCCTGATTGGAGTCCTGACAGCTGAGGTTAGTGAGAGAGTTTAGTTTTTGTGTTAATTAACCTTGCTGATTTAGAATGGAGAATACCCTCATGACTCCTTCCCCCTTCTTCTATGCCCTCACTGCCCCACTGACGTGGCCTACTTTATCTCCAAGTTAACTGGAGTACTCCTTCACTCCAGCCTCACAAACTTATTCCCATTATGTTCTCCAATCTCACTCCCACACTACAGATGACATACAGCAGTTTTAGCCTTAACTTATTTAAAATGTCCTCACTTCAGGGCCCCTGGCTGGCTCAGTTGGTAGAGCCACGTGACACTGATCTTGGGGTTGTGAGTTCAAGCCCCAGGTTGGGTATAGATATTACTTAAAAACAAAATCTTTTTTTTTTTTAAGATTTTATTTATTTATTTGACAGAGAGAGGGAGAAGCAGGCTCCTACTGAGCAGAGAGCCTGAGATGGGGCTCAATCCCAGGACCCTGGGATCATGACCTGAGCCGAAGGCAGACGCTTAACTGACTGAGCCACCCAGGCACCCCAAAAAACAAAATCTTTAAAAAATAAAATAAAATGTCTTCACTTTGAACTTAAAATAATTTTAAGATTCATGTCATATGTTCCCTGACAATCACAGGAAAGGAAGTTCATTTATTTATGCCAGGGACAACATATCCCTGTCTTTGTATCTATATAACCCTCCGCTTAGTCTGAAATGCCCTCCCAAACTCAGTCCCCACCAGGCCTGGCCGACTGCCACTCTCTTTCTCTATTTCTCATTTACAAACTCACCTCTGCTCCTTTATGCTGTTAGGTATCCATTCTCTTCATTTTTCCTCTTTGTACTCTTGCTCTGCATTCTGTTTTATATATCGAATAAAGCACATTTCTCACAGTATCATAGTTTACTTTCTTACTGGCATGTTTATAAGGCTGGAACTGTAACTGGTTCATCACTGTGTCCCCTGTACCTAGCCCATACCGGGTTCTCAATAATGTTTGTTGATACTGAACAATACCACTTTGCTTCATTTTTCTTACCTGTAAGACAAAGGTCAGACTTTATTTGACAAGGATGTCCCGAGGCTGGACTAATTATTTCTTAAAATATAAAGTAGCACTATGTTAATACAAAAACACATGAAAGAAGAGGTTTGTTTTAATGAGCCATGGAGAGCTTTAATGGAGAGCTCCATTAAGTGGAGTCAGTAATGCAAAAAATTTTAAAACGTTTACTTAATGAAAGTTGCTGAATACTCAAAGAGGTCTAAGAAATCTCAACATAATTAACTCCTATAAGGTTAATTGGTGTCAGGCAGTATTGTCTCCTTTTCAAGAAAGGTATAATCCAGGTAGAATGTCAGGACATACACTAATAAAGAGGGAAAAAAATGCAAAATAGCAAGCTACGTGCCAATAAGCGATAAAGAATCATTGCAACAGCTCATGAATACTACCTTGTCTTCTTTGGGAACCAGAAGAACCCACTTGTGTCTGGCTAGATTGAAAGGCACAAAGTTGACTAGTAAAACAACCTGTTGAAGGAGCCTCCATCAACACACAGAAACTTTGTTTAGAAGTATCGTTGTCTAATGATGTTTGCATACCCAGGGTGCTGTCGCTAACAGCAATCAGCTATTAAATACAAGCTCCCCTCCAATTTGAAAAAGCAAACCTGTTCTTGAGGCTGGCACATTCGATTGAAAATGTAAACTTTATCTAATAAATTCTCACTGCTCCAGCTGCTCACTCACCCAGCACTGGCCTCTTCAGTGACCCAGTTCTTTCTCACAGCCTCTGCAGTCAACCCTTCTCCCCAGCAAGGTTGCCAACCCCTCTGCCCTGCCACGGACGACTCACTCATTTTCTCCACAGCCTCCACCCACTTCCTATTGGACTCATATTTCATATTGAATTTCTGCTGATCTTGAATTAAACCATATT